TTATAGATTAATTTGGTATAAATTTCTCATTTTTGAATCTGGGAGCTCTAACCCGTGTTTTCCTAGAACAGTCCCCATATGTTCTTTTTTTTTTTTGAATATATTAATAATTCGGTATTGAGTAATGATAATAAAATAATATTTTTAACAAATAAAATTGAAATAAATGCTTTATGATAAAAAAAATTCAACATTTAAATGGTCTTTGATACCTAAGACCAGACCGACTCGGTCCATGGTTCAGACTGTTAACATCCCTATTTATATATGTAATTTTTTTATTATCTAACAACTCTTTAATCATTAAATAAATATTTCGATGCTCCGAATGAATATTAGAGTTTCGAATTATTCGTTTTTTAGTTTTATTCGTTTTATTCGAATTATTAGTTATTTATTTTATTCGGATTATTCTTTTATTATTCGTTTTATTCAAATAAACTTTCAATGTAATAGTAACGACAAATGCTTGAGTCATGTGATTTTATAATATCGTGACACTCAAAGAACATCATCGCTATTACTATTTTTGGATTGCGCGCGGCGCAGCAATTGATGCCTTTTAGCTAAATTGTATTACAATGTTGACGATGACGTAATTTTTATCTTTGAAAAATAATAATAAAGAAAATAATGATCACGCAAATGTCAAAAAAAGAACAGTACTCTCATTTACAAACACAACTTGAAGCGCAAAGTTCTTTGTGTCATACTATTGCAGCTCATTATTTAAAATCTGGAAATAAAAAACAAGCTGCTCTTTATCTTCGATATAAAAATTCTTTTAAAGCAGATTTAAACTCGTTGGTTTCATATAGTAACCACGATAAAGATGTCCCTGCTTTTCATTATCAAGAAGTTAGTTATGAGATAGAAAACATTTTCCCGGAATTGGCTGCAAATGATATGGAAATTTGCATTGAAAGAGCTTGGAATTTAGGAAATAAGGAAGTAAATGGTAATGATGTTGTTGCTTATGTCAATTGGAATGTCGCATGGCCACCAGAAGGTAGTCCTGGAGCGGGAAGTGGGAAGGGTGATACCTCTACTTCTGATCGTGGAATGAATCCAGGTATGATAATTGCACTATATTAAATAATCTATCATTAAATTTCTTTTAAAAACATTAATACATATACATATATATAATACTCAAGAATTTAACTTTAAAAAAAGAATCGATATCGTTCGTTCAAGACCATTTCAAAGATATTTGGAACGAAAAAAAGCAACATTTGAAGTATTTCATTACAAAGGCTTCTTACGAAAATCAATTTCGCTTGGAAAAGCAACTATTAAATTGGATACATTACTTAAAAAATCTGAAATACATGATGTACTTGAGGTTGAATTCTAATATATAAGTTAATGTTTTAACATTTAATTGACGATACAAACTTTTTGAAATAATAGTATTAAGTTTTTTTATTAAAATACTTCAGCTTGTGGATCACGTTCGTAAACCTACAGGTGGAAAGCTTGAAATACGTATACGTCTCAGAACACCGTATTCTCAATCTGAAATTATAACAAAAACTGAAAAATGGCTCATAATTGATGAGTTTAACAAAGATTTCACAAGTTTAACATCTTCATCTATATCTACTACATCTTCATCACCAGCAAAATCTTCTTCCTCATCAGCAGTGACAGCAACAGCAGCAACAGTTAATGCAACACCTGTCAACCCAACTTTTAGTGTTTCATCACAATCACAATTGGAAACAAAAGATTTAACAACAGCGACGACAGAAACAACAACAAGTAGTTCTACAGAAAGCCAACAACAAAAAAATTTTATTGAATCAGATTCAGTTACATCCCCCCCCAAAAAAACCAACGACGTCATCATCATCACCGCCTCCTGCATCTGTGGCGAGTTCTTCAAAAACAAAAGAACAAAATGTCTCCCAATCTCTCATCACAAGTAATACTGAAGCTATTAGTAATACTGAAAATATTAAAATTGAAGCAACTGCTAAAACTTCCGCAGTCACTGATGCTAATTTACAACAAAAAGCAACAACCATCGAAAAACAAGCACCTTCAACAACACCACAAAAATCAAATCGTGTTACTCAAATATCAGATACAGGAAAGGATGAGTTAGAACAAGCAGAAGAACAACTTAATAGGCAATTTTTTTATTTCTTTCTAATAATTAAAACAAAAAAAATTTTATGATACTAAAGGAACACATTCTTTCTCTTTCTTTTACTATTTTAGTGTTGAAAATATTGCGTCTAATCTAGTTCTTCAAAATGAGATTGAACTTATCACCAATCAGATAACTACATTGGAAGCACAAAGGAAACCAATACCAGAGGATTTGTTAGATAGGCAAAATGAATTAGAAATCAAAATGAATTTATTGTTAATATCTGTACAAACAAATGAATTAACCATGGCTGAATATATTGAAAGAGTAAAAGCAAGTATTGTTAATTGCAAGAAATTAGCATTGTTTTTTAAAAAAGCAGGTAAATTGGATGAAGCAAAGAAAGCATTGAGGAGAAGTAAAATTATGGAGGATGAAGTTAAAGAAGTGGAAGAAGCTATTAAAAATGGTGCCTTGGAGATGTGATAAATTATTTATTTACATTTCATGTTTCCCAAAAAAAAGAAACAAACAATTTCACTAAAAATGAATTGATCGGATTTATTTTTATTATCATTATTTATACATAAATTTTTTTTAAAAATTAAACATCTATTTAAATAATGTAATTGATTTCTAAAGGTGTATTATATATATAATTGATTGAAAAGATGTCTTTTTTTTTTGAAAAATAAATATTTTAATGCGTTTGTATGACGTGTATATGATGTTGGATGCATGTAATGATTTTATAATAATAATATATGTTAGTGTTATAAAAACACAAAACGATAAATATATTTATAATAAAATGATTATAATAATTAGGTATGTTTGTAAAAATATGTAGTAAAAAAAAGGTGAGATTTCTTGCGCGTAAAGTGTATGCAAAAAAATTAATTACAACAACAAAAGGTTCATCACTTTCACCTCTATTTTCGTTATTTAGTTGTTACATTTTTGTTATCAAGTTTCAATATGCTTCTTATTACATTACTTAGAATTGCAAAATTTACAGGTTTGCTGACATAATCTGTAAATCCTACTTTTAAGCATCTTGAAACAACATCGGACATTACATTTGCTGACAATGCTATTATTGGGATTGGTGTGTCGTCATCTAAATCTTTTAAATTTTCAGCTTCCCATTTTCTAATCTCGATCGTTGTTTCATAACCATCTATTTATTATTTATTAATAAATAGAGTTAAAATTATGCAATTATTTTAATCACATGATCTATTTATACGTACCTTTTTTGGGCATAAACAGATCACACTTTTTAAATAAACAATATATTAAAATTGAATTAATAAAAACCCACATAACAACAATATAATTGAGATATAAAACAAAATTAAAATTTCTTACCAAAATAAAAGAAAAATAATTATGAGGATGCGAAAAAAATTGTTCTAAACATTGATCACCATTAACAGCTACAGTTACTTCTAATCCTACCTTTGTAAGATATTTTGTTATAACTATTAAAAAAATAAATAAATTATAAATAAATAAGAAAATAAATGTGATAATTGAAAAATCTTAATGTTTGAATGTTTGGATGAAGAAAACAACCTTTTTGATTTACAAAATTGTCTTCTACCAATAAAACTTTATATCCTCGATCGCCAACATCTTCAGCCATTCTTTGAAAAACTTCTTTTTGACTAGCAACAACCTTATGTGTGTTTCTTCTCTTCAAGAAACTATCTCTGAAAGTGGTCGTATCATCAAACAACCCCTCCATTTTACTCCTGTTCAATGGCTTGAAAATAAAATCAACATGTTCTGGAAATTCACCTTGTGCCCCTTCAACTATACCAGCACGTTGTATCTGTGTAGTTAAGATCACAGTCGCTGTTAGTGATAAGTGATTTGAATGTTTGATGGTTGATGCAAGTGAGATCACGTGTGATTGTGAAACTAAATTTATCAAAATGTGCGAATAAAATTTTAAATTGCTGATTTTTTCATAAGCTTCGGCGTAATCATTAGCAATGTCAATCTCGGGTACAGGTGTTTTTGGAAGAATCGAACAAACATAATGAACTATGGCTTTACGAGAATTTGATAAGTCGGCAACAATAAGCACACATTTAGTACGAGGTAAATCAATTGTTGTTGGCTTAACAAGCTTTAATGCATTCGATGATGTTAATGGAGCAACGGTGGTAAAATCATTATTATTAGTAGTAGTACAATTAGTATTATCGGCCATATTTATAGGCAATGCAATATTATTTTTAGGAATTTGTATTAATGGCGATGATGAATTAGATGGTATTATATTCTTTCCTATTCCACGATTATTACAACCATTAACGATATTATTAAATGATGGTAAAGAATTTCCTGATGAGGGTGGCGTAATTATGCTGTCCGAACTATGTTTAGATGAGACTTGGACTGAAACCTTACTACAGCGGAAAAATGGTGAATTTGATACTTCGGATGTTGGGGTTTGTGGACGTGGCATGGTCGAGTCAGGTGGTATTGTAAATTTTGCAGTAAAGTAAAAGGCTGAGCCAACACCCTTTTGACTCTTACAGTATAATTTGCCGCCATGTAACTCAACAAGTTGCATCGATATCACTAAACCTAATCCACTACCATCATGTTTTCGAGTTGACGAAGTATCAACTTGCGAAAATGGTTTAAACATAACTGCTTCTGCCATAGCATCAAAACCCTCGCCAGTATCAATAACTTCGAACAATAACATCACTTCATTTTTACCATCATCGGTTTTTGAAAACGACTCTACTGAACATCTAGAAAAAACTTCGCCTTTTGATGTAAATTTGATCGCGTTCTATTGATTCATTTAAAATAAATTTTTTTTTTAATTTTCGATAAAAAAAACAATCATCAACTCAATAATAAATATGTAATATTGAATACATACGCCAATAATATTCAATAATACTTGACGTAATCTTATTCTATCACCGCAAACAACCTCAGGAACATTCTCTTCAACAATAAAGCTCAACTCCAATCCCTTTTGAATTGCCAACGTAGAAAGCAACTCATTGGTATCATCGATCATATCACGAACTAAAAAAGGTTCCATCTCCAATTTCATCATCCCTGCTTCCACCTTACTCAAATCCAATATATCATTTATCACTAATAATAAAGCGTCTGCTGATTGTTGTATGGTATGTGCATAATCCATTTGTTCTGTTGTTAAATTGGTTGCCAGCATAAAATTTATCATGCCAGTAATACCTATAAGTGGTGTTCGAATTTCTTGATTTTTTTGTAAATTAAAAATTTTTTTGATAATTAATTAAATATAAATTAGTTATTTGCAATTATTTTTATTATACCTATATAGAATATTTACCGTGAGACATATTAGACAAGAATTGAGTTTTGCTTTCAGTTGATTTTTTAGCTGCATCATGAGCTTCTTGAAGTTTCTGTTCAACCAATTTATGATCATTGATGTCAGTACAAGTGCCAAACCATATTCTACCTTGTTCGGATACTTCTACACTAATACACTTAACCAAAAACCATCTGTATTCACCTTCTGCGTTCATCAAGCGAACTTCAGTGGTGTATGAAAGACCAATCTCATCTAGTGCATCCTTCACCTCTGGCAAACAACAATGCACTCTATCCTCTGGAAAAACATGTGACAGAAATCCTAGATTCTTTGCCTGTTCATCTGTCTGACCAGAATAAGCAATCCATTTCTTATTGACATAATTGATACCTTCTTTAGGTGTTGCAGTGAAAACTATTTGTGGTATAGCATCAGCCAACAAACGATACTTTTTCTCATTAGCCTCGATGTGTATCTGACGACTTTGTAGTTTCTCGGATAATTTTTGATCGTGCACATCGGTACAAGTTCCAAACCAACGAATGTTGACACCTCTAGCATCTCTTAACGGACCAGCACGACCCAAGAACCAGCGATACTGTCCATCGAATCTACGTATACGATACTCGGCACTAGAGCCTTCACCTCTTGAAAATGTTCTATTCCACATTTCCCATACCGACGATCTATCGTCTTGATGTACCACCTCTATCCAACCATGACCTAGCAAACTATCGATACGCTTACCAGTATATTTCAACAGTCGCATATTAACCCATGTACAATCACCTGTTCCAGGTGTAAGAGTATAAACAACATTTGGCGTCAGATCAACAATCATACGAAGCATCTTTGTGTTAGGTATTATTAAATGTGGGATCTTATTATTTTTATTAGATGACGATGGTGACGATGAATATTTTATATTACTGCTATTACAACGTTTGTTATTATTCTTGTTGTTATTGTCATTGTTGTGATTGACGTCGTCACAGCATGTTATAGATGAGTCCTTACCATCACAATCTTTATTAATATTTTTATTTTTTGTGGCAAAATTTGCGTCCGAGAAATTTCTTGAGGAACTACGTCTCCTACGTTTTTTATTGCATTTATAATCATTAGAATAATAAGTTGGTAATGAAGCCCCACGAGAAATTTTAAATTTGTTAGAGGGACTGTTTTTGATGTTTTCATTAATAATATCATTCCTTGAACCATCATTTTCAGTTGATGGTGATTTGCCCAAATTTGTTGGCGAAGCTGAATAGTCATAATTCGTAACATTTGTATTATTAATTACGCTTTGATTATAATTGTCATTATCAACACCTGATTGATTATCATGGTTCATTAAAGTATCAATTTTATCGTTATAAACATTTTCATCGTCCCTAACATTATTGCCATTATTAATATTTCCGTCCAAGTCAATATGATCATAATCAGTCATTGAAAAAATGGTGGCATATTCCCATTTAGATGAAGAAGAATCACTATCTGATGCAGATAAAGACGAGAAACTACAAGAGTCTTCTTCAACATCAACACCATCTTTTTCTTTTGAGTCGATATTAGTTGAATTGGTTAAACTGGGTAAATTGAAATGTTGGCTATTGTTACAACGACTATGATGACGATTATGGCTTTTATTGTCATGATTATGATTAAGATGTTGGTAATCACGCAATGAAGAAGCATAGGATGATAATTGTTTAGTGGATTGTTGATAAATCATTGAAGTCGATAGAGTAGTTGCTAAAAAAGGAGCCAGAGATCTAAGAGATTTCAAAAGAATTGAAGGGAATGGAACAATAGGAGATAGGAACGAGAGTATTGCGATTGGAACTGGGGAATGGATTGTATTTGAAGAGGGATGACTTTTTGCGGTGGTTGGATGAATAAGAGGAATGTGCACAATGGAATAGATGTTGTTGTTTTTTAAAAAAGTAGATTGACAAATTGTAGCAGAGTGCGAGGAAGATGGCGATGAAGACGATGAAGAAGGATCAAATGCATCTTCGTCAATTTCTGGTATCGTTTGAAAAAAAGGATTGGTATTTAGTTCTGATGTGATAATAGGTGAAGGCGCAGGCGATTGAGACCAAGGAGAAGGTTCTTGCTGTTCAAATTCTTCGTATTCAGATATAATATTATTATTATTAACAATAAAATCACCAGTCTTAAAATTGTCATTAATGTTGTTGATGTTGTTATTATGTATACCACATTTATCTAATGCTTGATTAATACGAAAATAGCTACCGTTCCCTTCTTCTAAATCATTTAAACAAGGCGTATCTAATACGGTTGATTTATTATTATTGTTAATTTTAGTGTTAGACATATTAGTAGATGATGATAATTGTGATGATGGTGATGATGATAATGCGTGAATATCTAAATTAATATTATTTGTATTGTTGTAACATTTACAATTTAGTTCTGATGTACCATTTTTTAAGTCGTGATGAATATTATTTTCATGCAATTTCTTATTTTCTATATTATTGTTATTATTATAATTATTACTACTATTATCATTGTTATTGTTGTTATTATTATTTATCTTATTTTTATTATTGTTTTTTTCATTATGTTGAATTCTATATTCTCTTGATAAAACAACAATTTTCCCCCTTTGTAGAATTTTCAATATGCTTTTATTATCAATTAAAGGCTCATAATCACAATCGAAACTCTTCAAGTTATCAAATACCGAGTGATTATTATCATCTTTTGAAAAAGATGAAGGTGCTGACGATGACGACGATGATAAAGAATAATTACAAGTAGTCGTTAAATCCTCGGTATGATAATAACTTTTAAAACTATCATCATTAAAATCTTCATTTTTGCTGCCATGATTATGATTATTGTCGGAACTATTGTGATTTTTGAAACGATATTCACGATTATAAATTGCCTTTGTACCCCAAGGGGTATTTATAGTGTCAGTTAAATCATGAGGTATAGATAATAATATACGAGAAGCATAATATGAAGAAGTAAATATACTTATCACATTATCCCACCATTTATTTATTTCTAATTCAGTTGTCAGTTGCAAAGATGATTTGTAAATATTTGGAGATGAAAATGTGATTGGCTGATTTTGATGTCGCTGCTGATGCTGTTGTTGTGACAATGATGTTTGTGAAGGTTTTGCAGCAGCAGCAGCATCATGAGATGAGGGAGAAGAATCTGATTGTGGTTGATGATGCTGCTGCTGTTGATGTTGATGTTGATGTTGATAATTATTATTGTGGTATTGTCGATTATCTTTAAAATCGATAATTGACATATTTTCAGAGGTAGCAAGATTATGATTATGATCTGAATATTGATTATGATTACGATTTGATATTGGAGGCGTGGGCAACGAAGGTAGTAATGGTTTTGATGGAAAACTATGATTAGGATGAATGTTTTGTTGTTGTTGAAAATGCTGTTGCTGTTGTTGATTATAGTCTTTATGTGATTGATTTTGTGGTGTTTGAGATGAAACTTTGAGTTTTTGATTATGAATTTTATTATTGTTATTATAATTATTTTGAGAGTTTATTTGATTATTGTTATTTAAATTTATTTTTTGTGGTATTGAAGTATTTTCTCGCAATTGTTGATATAATAATTCTTGCCGATAAATATGTTCAGTGTAGTAATCTGTAATATTACTGTTTTGAATTGCATCGTCTGATTTATCAGGAGATGATGATGATGATGACGGCGATAATGATGATGACGATGATGAAAGCGGTGATGTTGATGAAATATTACTTTCACAATAATTAAAATAATTATTATTATGCTGTTGTTGATGATTATTATTATAATGTTTTTTTTGTTGGTAACATCTTTGCTGTTGATTTTGCGAATTTCTATTATTACTATTATTAATGTAGTTAACGTTGTTACCACTCTCACTACCACTCTCACTACCACTATTACTACTAATATTGTGTGGCGGCATATGAAGTATAAATTCTGTTTGTTTCATATTCGTTATGTTTATATATATATATTATTATTTCGCGTTAACCAAATAAATAACAACCAAATAAATAAAAACCTTATAATAAATTAATAGTATTAGTGTTAATAATATTATATAACTCATGATATCATTGGTAATATATGCAACTTACCAAATAAATATTCCAAGTATGTATAATAAAAGATCTTTTATCGTAGCGTATTATTTTTTTTGTTAAAAAAAGAAGGATTATATTGAAAGGTTTGTTTCAAAACAAAATTGATTAGTGAAGCACATTAACAAATTTTGTTTTTCTTTCCTTTTTAATTTACAAAACTTACTTTAGGGATTAAGAGAAACACGCTATTTTTAAAAAGCTGGTTTTTCTAAAATTAGACAAAATTAGATGAATACTAATCAAAAAGATTTTTTTTTTTTGTTGAAATCTATTTACAAGATTTTTTTTCAATACGAAAAAAAAATTAAGAAAAATTTTATTATATATCATAAAATGAAAAAAATTAATTAAAATAGAAAGTATTTAAAAGGAAATTAGTAGTTTAGTATGTTATATAACTTGTAAAAAATTTAATTTTAAGATAGGTTTAGTTTTAAATGATAATAATTAATGTATATATGTTATGTATGTTATGTGTAAATCGCTCGATGTTGTCATTATGCATATAATATGTATAATGATGCTATTTTTATGTTTTAGTTGATTCTGAGTATCACAAGAAACACATCAATCTTTAATTAAATTCAAAATAATTATTTCTCCTATCTCGTTCGCACTAACTTCACATTCACACTCACCCACACACATTAAAATTTATTTATTTTTTTTTTTCATTTCTCTATTGTTTCATTATCAATATCATCTATTTAACTAATTTCTAAAATTAATAACAATAAAATAACAATGATGGTGGTGATTAGCGATAGCGACGAAAATCTGATAATAATTAATAATTATTTATTATATATTCTATTGCATTCCATTATATTACGTTCCAGACATAAATTCTAAGATAGATTCCATAATCCCTAATATCAAGAAAGAAATACCAGATAATAATAATAATCAACACTAAGAAGAGAATTTCTGCTTGTTATGGTTGTTGACTTTTTTACACTAAACAAAATGTCATTGACGGATCACAAACCTGTGTCATTAACTGTAATTAAATTGCATGAAAAAATTTAAATGTTTTTTTACTTTCGTAATTCCCTTAAAATAAATTACGCAAAAACTTTTTTTTTTAATCACGAGACTAATAAATTCCAAGTTTAATATTAAATAACAATATAAATAATAAATAATAAAATTTATAATACTAATATGCGTATTTCAAGTTATTTTTTATTGATCGATATATTTGCCGTCTAATAAATATAATAAATATAATAATAATAATAATAAATAAGTAAATATAAATAATAATTATGATTATAATCAAGAAAAGGAAAGTATTACATAATTATCATTATATAAATAAACGGACTAATAGCGTGTAATATTATATAATGCATATATACTATTAATTCATTCGCGTAATAAATAATTATAATAATAAAGAATCTAAAAAATATATCCTAGTAACGCGTATATATATAATATTGTAAATATTTGTAAATACGTAACGTATGTCCGTACATTCATCACGTTCATCATACATATTGGTGGGATTAAAAAATTTTCCTTTTAAGTTGGTTTTTTTATTTTATTCATACGGCGTCACAGTTTGTATTCACAAGATATTTATTATCTTTGTGTGACTTTATGACATCATCAACATTAAAAGATCTACTGTCAATTCATTATTAAAAAGTGAACGGAGACTGTATAGCGCAGCCCCCTTTTGTAATTTATCAAGTGTTGTTGGGTTATACAATGATGACATGCATGATGGCGAGATTCAGAAAATTGTACTGTTCTTTAAAAGGTTATCTCCAAAAAACAATTGAACAAATACGTGTGGAAATAAATTTATATATTTATTTTGGGGGGTTTTTTTTTTGAGAAGCTATTTTTTTGAAAAAAATACGCGAAAAAATTTTTATAATAATATATGCAAAATAATTAATGTAATTTTTAAAATAAATAGAATGCATGCAATCTGTTTCTTTATAGTTCTAATGGAACAGATTCACAATCAGAGCATAACCACGGCTGATCTGATGAATATCGAGTAAGTCCTACGCATTCACGATGATACCACTCAATTTTACACTAATAGTATAATTGGATGGTGACAATGAGTAACAATCAATCAATCAATCAATCAATCAATTAATCAATTAATCAATCAATCAATCAGTTAACTTACTTTTGGATGATTACACCAAACCATATTTCCAAATTCTGGCTGTACAATTTTAAAAAATTTAGATTTATAATTTTTGCAACATAATAATAATAATAATAATAATTGTTGTAAATTTTCTCTTACTCGTTTACAATAACAATACAAAGGTTGGTCAGGACTGAATTGAAGAATTGGATCATCACTAATATAACTCCTAATTAATATATAATAATAATAATAATAATAATAATAATACAACAACAATGAACTTGAATAATAATAATATTGATTTACCCTTTTAAATATCAATAATCATTATTATCAAATAAAGAAGGAAAATGAATTAATGTCATAGAATAATTAAAAATTAACAGTTGTAAATGTGTTTTATATCAAATACCTAAAGTTATATCATTCCTGGATAATTCATTATCAAATCGTTGAGCATGTCTAGAAATCTGGAAATACAAATAAATATAAATACAAATATATATATATATATATATTATCGTAAATACTTTAATAACAAACTATCACTACCAAATCTTCTACTTTGTCAATTAATGCTAATTTTTCATCTTGTATTTTAGTTGCTTGGTCTAATGCTTGCTAATGATAACAATATCTTTATGAGTTTTTTGAAATTTACGTGTTGTAACAAGATCAGGGATTGGTTGATATTATTACATTTTATATGTAAATTTTTTTCGAATAATAACCATAAAAAAAAAAAAAAGAGTAAATAAATGCCTCTACTAAGCCTTTTAAAAGCCTCGATTTTTCTTCACCGATTTGATTAGTTTTTTCCAAATAATCAAAATAATTTTTTTTACTTTTTTTATATTTTTTTATAAAGCCTGTTTGTTTATTTTATTTGAAAAAAAAATTTAATAAATTATCATCATCATAATTATTTAACATAATAATAATTTCAAACATTCCATTCACACATTATTATTATATAAATATATTTATATATTACGTTCACATTGTACGTCTAGAGTTCTTAATTCATTTAAATGGTGTGTAATTTCCGAAGGTAAATTATATACAGCTTTAGAAAAGAAAGAAAAAAAATCGGGATCATTATAAAATGTAGTGTGAATGTATATATACGTTATAATAATAATAACAACAACTTACAATCTATATAATCTTCAAGAACTTCGGATGCTGATCTAAGTCCTGGTGTATTGTTGTTGTTATTGTTGTTATCGCTGTTGTTACGAATGTTTTGCATTTCATTCATTTCGATAGAAATTATTTTATTATTCTAAAAAATTAAAAATATAAAGTGTTTATTTATATAGGAAACAAGAAGGAGGTTTATTAAAAAGTTATTTTTTGAACACAAAAGTAAAAAAAGCAAGAAACCACATGTATCTACCGTTAAACTCAAAAAGTCATCATTCTAGATTAAGTAAAATTAAAAGATGAATCAAAAAGAGCTCAATTTTTAAGAAATTTGTGTGAATCGTGCAGAACATGAAATGTTTTCTTAATGTTTCGACCATTTTACTTGTTAAAACATCCATCATCAAATTTTTATGTGTGATGGATATATTTCTATATAAATATGTGTGTTCATGTGATTAAATTCAATTCCTTTCTTTTTTTTTTTACGATTAACAAAATGTCTTCTTCCATTTCTTCTTCAAAACAGTGGTATGTAATATAGATTAACAGAGCCATGTAAATAAATAAACAACTTCAGTATTATATTCGTATTCATGCATAATTATTTTATTTATTATTATTATTAATTAGGAGAGAATTCAATTTTTTTGATGTTCAGCAAATTAAAGATCCAAACAATACAAATGCAACTCCTGCTATTTTTCAAGTAATCATTATATTAAACCTTATCAATTTCTTCTAACTTTACAAAGTCTCAAGTCTATTATTTGCTGCCTTTTTAAAAACACAGAAACCAGATATTACATCGAGCACTAGTGGTCGTGGAAACATTATTTTAGCTGATATCCTTAAATCGTCATCATTTGAATTCAATTCAAATTTTCAATTTAAATAAATAATATCTTTAATTTGACAGGAATATTCATATCCAATTATTATTATAATAATTACACTCTTCAGGATATGTACATGTTGTAGACAAATCATTTAATGTACAATCTTTCTTAGCATATGATGGAGGAAGAATCACACATATGAAACAAATTAAACAAAAGAATATCTTAGTAACAATTGGCGTATGTGTCGCAAATGTTTCCTCATATTATATGACAACAGTGGCAAATCAATCTAACCACTTTAAATATTAATTTAATTAATTAGGATGATGATCCTCCTGCTATTAAAATATGGGATCTTGACAAGCAAGATAAATCTAAAGGAACTCCTGCATGTCAACGAACAATTAAAGTTAATCATGGTGGTAAACCTTTTCCTGTATCAACGTTTGCTGTACTAGATAATCTGGGTCAAATTGCTGTTGGTTTGGCCAATGGTGTGGTTGTGTTGATTAAAGGTGATTTGTATAGAGATCGTCATACAAGACAAAAAGTAATACATGAAAGTGAAGAACCTGTCACAGGTAATAAATAATAATAATAATAATAACTATAATAATAATAATTAATTACTTATTAATTGTGCAAGTATTTTTATTTCTTTGATATTAACAGGGCTTGGGTTTAGAGAACATTGGAAATCAATTATTTTATTCATTGTTACTACAAATAAGATTCTAACTTATGTAACAACCAGTAAATTACCACCTGTATGCCTTGCTTTTTATTATTATTAATTAGTTAATTTGATAATTTGAAGATATTTTAATAATAATGATATTATCATTATTATTCCCTTATTTTAGACTATTCTTGATGATCAAGGCTGTGGTTTAAATTGTGCTGTAATGAGCGATACCACACATGAAATGGTTGTTGCTAAAGATGAGGTAAATTATATCTCAAATGGATTTTATTTTATGTGCGTTTTTTATATATGATTAATATTTCATACTTGTATTTGCAAAAAAAATTTTTAGGCAATTTATTTCTATGGACCTGATGGACGTGGATCTTGTTTTGCTTATGATGGTAAATCGATGATTTGATTAATATCTACATAAAGATATATATATATGAAACATACATAAATAAATTTATAACGTACATAAATAAATATATAGGTGTCAAAACATCAGTTACTTGGTTCAAATCATATTTGATAATCGTTGCACCTCCAGTTTCTCAACCAACCAGACTTACAACTACCACACGATCGGCTTTATCAATACTCCCAGGAAGTTCTCAACATCACCAGCAGCAGCAACAATCATCTTCAACGCTTTATGAATTAACAAAAGTAACTATCTTTGACACTGCAAATAAAGTTATTGCATACATGGGAACTTTTTCATATGGTGTCAGAACAATTACTTGTGAGTGGGGCGGTATTTATATCCTTGGAATGGATTCAAAGGTTTTTTGTTATTTTTAATTTTTAATTTTTAATTTTTAAACAAAATAATTATAATTATAGTTGTAATTATTATTTATTTAGTTGTTCCGTCTTGAAGAAAAAGATACTCCAACTAAATTGGAAATATTATTCAAAAAAAACTTGTATTTATTAGCCATTAATCTTGCACATAGTCAAAAATATGACGATACCAGTATTTCAGAAATTTTTAAAAAATACGGTGATCATTTATACAAGTAAATAGTTTTTTTTATTTTAGTACCAGTAATAATAATAACATTATTATTAATTATAATATATAATTTGCATTTATATTTATATTTAAATCTACATTTTATAAAGTAACGGGGATTATGAAGGTGCAATGACTCAATATATTCGTACCATTGGTCAATTAGAGCCTTCTTATATTATTCGAAAGGTATTTTAAGAAATTCTTAAAAAAAAGAAACTTTCAGATATTAATACTAATCTATAATATTTATGAAATCAATGTTTTTAAAAAACACATATACAGTTCTTGGACGCCCAAAGAATTCATAATTTAGTAAATTATCTTCAAGAACTTCATTCACATAATTTAGCTAATGCAGAACATACAACGTTATTACTTAACTGTTACACCAAATTAAAAGATGTAGCGAGATTGGATCAATTTATTAAGGTAGAAATAAATTTTACATACATTTATTTATGTCTATTAAAGGTTTTTGTTACTGCTATATAAATATAAATATAAATATAAATATATTATATGATTAGACGGATAATGAACTTACATTTGATTTGGAAACTGCTATCAAAGTTTGTAGGCAAGCTGGTTATCATGAACATGCTGTATATTTAGCAAAAAAATTTGGTGAACATGATTTGTAAGAATTATTATTATTGTCATTCATTATTTATTGTTACTGATATTGATTTATTAAATTTCCTTCCATACAATTTCATATATAACAACATTTTAATTAATTGTAATCCTTTTGTTTTTGTTTTGTTATTAAAAGATATTTGAAAATACAAATCGAAGATGTTAAAGCATATGAAAATGCATTGGAATATATAAGAAAGTTGGGTCCATTCGAGGTTAGTAATAAAAATGTAAATTATTTCATTAGATACATTAATTTATTAAATTCATTCACTAATCATTCCGCATATTTAAAAAAAGGCGGATCGTAATTTACAAAAATATGGAAAAATACTTCTTAATCATCTACCAGAACCAACCACCAAACTTCTCATTGATCTTTGTACAAGCAGTAATAATCAGATTAGTGGAATCAATAATAATAACAGTAGCACCAGCAACAGCAATAATAATATAACTGCATCGTCGTCATCATCAGCTATGATAAATGGTCATTCTTATTCTGCCAATGATAAAGTTTCTAGTGTTTATAGGCCACCGCCAATTCGCACTTTTATGTCATTGTTTGTTGATCAACCAAATTATTTAATTCAATTCCTTGAACGAGTGTCTGAGAAACGTTGGGGAGGATTTGGACTGTCACGTAAATCTAATAGTAGTAACGACGACAGCGACAAATCTTCTTCAACAGCACAATTAAAATCAAAAAATTTTGATTTATCTAAAAACAGCAATAACAAAAATTCAAAAAATAGAGAATTGGATGATAGTTCTGAATTTAACATAAATTTTTCTGACGTTGGCAATGATTATTATAATGATGATGACGATGACGATGGTGACCAACAACGTGATCCAGAAGTTGTAGAGAAAAAAGCTGTATGGAATACACTTTTGGAACTTTATTTATCCGAAGCATATTTACCACCCGTTATAACAACTAAAGACGCTAAAGGAAGAAAGTTAGGTGCCCCAAGTACTTTTGCTGTTTCAACTGAAACAGAACGTATTAAAGAGAAACATATAAGAAAAGAAAAAGCATTGAATCTATTAAAAGATGAAGATGTAGGTCAAATAAATTAATAATTAATTCTACACACACATCACTTATCTACAACTAATTTATATCTATTAATCTGTAAAAATGATAGGTATCATATGATATAAATCAAGCATTGGTTCTTTGTTACTTGGCACAATATGATGATGGGATTGTTTATCTTTATGAAAAAATGAAAATGTACGAAGATATTTTAAGATTCTATATGGCCAAAGATAATACGGAAAAGGTCATTCAAGTATTAGGAAAATATGGGTAAACGTTTGGTTTATTTAATTATACATATATATTTTTTAAAAAATTATATATATATATATATTATATATTAAAATTATATCATGTTAATTTATATTAGTCAACATGAACAATCCCTATACATATTAGCATTAACCTATTTTTCATCATCACCAACAAATTTGGAATCATCATCAGTTGAAATTTTACGAATACTTGATTATATTGATAAACATAATTTATTGCCTCCTTTACAAGTTATTCAGGCACTTAGCAGAAATTCACTTGCAACTTTGAGTATGGTTAAAGGATATATGGGAAGGAGAATTGAAAGTGAACGTAAGGAAACACTTGCAAATCTTAAAATGATACAGAATTGTCAGGAAGAAACAATAACAAAAAGAAAAGAAATTGAAGAACTTAAGACTGTGTATGTATGAGGTTTATACATGTGGCCGAAACTCCCATCGGGTTTCAGCATCTTTGGAATTCCAAATATAGCAAATAATTTTAGTTTTACTAGAATTTAGCCGAAACTCTGGAGAATTTATTTTATAGTTTCGGCCAAATCTCGAGATCGATTTTTATTGTTGTGCGTGAATTTGAAATTTAAATTCATGCGCGTGAAATTCAAACTAATCAATCAAAATTTTATATCCAAACACCCACCACCCCAAAAGTTTAATTATAAATTTCAAATTCATATAAATTTGATTTTCACGCACAACATTATCATGGCCGAAACTCACGCGAGAAAGGTTTCAGCCACATGTATAATGAGGTTTTTTTAAAAATATTCATACATACGTACATACTGATTTTAACTTTTTACCATTGTTGTCGTAGAGCTCGTATTTTCCAAGTTACAAAATGTTCTGCTTGTCGTGGGTCACTTGATCTACCAGCTGTACATTTTCTATGTCGACATTCATTTCACCAAAGGTATTTTGATGATTAAAATTAACTAATCAACTAATCAACTAATCAATCAATCAATCAATCAATCAATCAATTAATAAGATAATGTATATTATGATTTTAGATGTTTACCTGAAACAGATCGTGAATGTCCTCAATGTGCTATTCAGAATAGAGAGATACTAGAAATTAGAAGATCACAAGAAATTTGTGCTGATAAACATGAATTATTTTTTGATATGGTAATGATCATTATTGTTGCTGTTGTTATTGTTGTTTATTTGAAGTTTTTTCTTATTTTTTTTTTTTTTATGGGGGTTTTTTCCTAAAAATAGTTGGAGAAAGCAGAAGATGGATTTAGTGTTATAGCAGAATATTTTTCAAAAAATACAATGGCATTTGCTAAAGTTATTGATTAATTGATGAATTAAGTAAAAAATTTTCAAAATCGGAAATATTTTTTATTATATATATTTTTTTTTTTTATAAATATTGATTTTGTCTATTTTATATTATTAAAGTAAATCATAATGCAATATCACTCGATTGCTTGTTTTATAGTTACTATACTCGCATTCCTTCTTTCAAATAAAATTAATAAAATTGAAAAAAATCTGTTAATATAGAAATTTCTGAATGTTCATTAAATACAATATTAATCAAACCAAAAACTTTTTAAACGCACCCATTGTCATGTCATATACATGTTCAATAAAGTCATTTAAGGAACTGAGAAATGCTTCATTTTACATATGTAAACTCGATTAGTCGGTCATGTGGGGGTGAGCTCATATGACCGACTTATCGAGTAAACCGACTTATCGAATTAAATTACTTAAATATTAAGAAAATGGGGTGAAAATTTTGGCCGACTTATCGAGTTTACATATGTATTACTATCTGATTGGGCATGATAATTCGAATATTTGGTTTTTAATATTAATATTAATATTAATAAAGTAAAGATTTTCAGCGAATTTAATTGACGATTCTTGATGGAAACACCACAATCTTTGCCTCATAAAAAAAAGGTGTGAAGAAACTCACGATCGACTATAATGTGGAGAGCCAGATATTATTATAATTTAATAGGTGAAAATGATGAATTTGCTAAGCGTAAAGTTTGTTCCAATAATCGAAAAGAGAAAATGTTTAAGCATAATAACTTTACAAGTAATCTTTCCCGAAATGAGCATGATTATCATTATACTCATCAGATTCATCATCATCCGTATCACTCACAAATTTCATTAAAGGAATGCTTTTTATGAATATTATCAGCAATTAAAGGGTGATTAAGTAGTTGATTTAATGTATTAGAAGGTATAATTTCTTCACTATATTTATTTTTACCCTTTTTGTGGCTTAAATCAAAATATGTAATAAGGGTCTTTTTTTGCTGTGAGCATTCTTCATTGTCTGGAAAGTAAAAAAATTTCCAAAAATGATGCGTTACTAATGTATTAGTAGTATACTGTTGCTAATATATTTTATAAATAATTTTGCCCTTATATTAGCCGGGACGCAAAAAAACTTTACCTGTAAAAACTTGGGCATTTTTTAAAGCATGCTATAGCTTAGCCGGGAACTTATATTAGATGTGCATATTTAAAAAATTATTGGGATCCTGTTACAGTATTAGTATGACAAGTAAACCTCGGTGCTGAAAATGTTTCTTGCTTGACATTCATTTCTATACACATTAATAGCCCATAGTATATTTCAGCTATTATAATAATAATCTTTTGTTTATTGTAACCTTCTAAACTTTCTTTAAAAAGGTTTCAATAATCACTTTTATTAAAATGATTTATTTTAAATGCTCACATATTAATTATTAATATATTTTCCAAGAAATAAATAATAAACTTAGGGGATGTTGTAATCTACCAATTTTAATAAATTAAAAAAATAATCTTAGTAAAGTTGACATAATCAATATCATAATATTATCGAGTTGGAGTAGTAGGATAAGATAGGGTATTTCTATGTTGAAGCTGTTCATCATTAGGAATTTCTATGATTTCACTTGTATTTTTTTTCTTTCTATATCTTACAATCATGAATGTTGCTATTATAACTAATATTATTCCAACTAAAATTACAATTACTATTATTAATATTAGAAAAGTGTTTGATGATGTTATTGATGTTGATGTATCTGGTTTCGGTATTGATGGTGTTGTTGGTGTTGGTGTTGATGGTGATTGTGCTGCAGGTACTGAATAACTTTCCTTCCAAGTAAGATCTTTAATATCAAGTATATAAGTTTTTGCAGTAGGTAATTTTGGACCTGAAACATTATTTGTAATATTTCCTACATACATATGTAATTTAGTAATTAACTTCAAAGTTGAAAAAATAAAAAGTTTTTTAAAAAGTAAAAATATACCAAAACTTATTATCATTTGATCTCCAATTAAATTAGCTGAATGCCATCTTACAGGTAGGGCGCGATCAACATTTGAAAAATTAGGTGCTGACCATTGAAAAGGATTTGTGGTTGTATCTAGTACCAAAAGTTCAGGAAGTGCAGTGATTTCTACAGGCCATCTACTACCACCATAAACAATTATCCTTCCATCCTTTGCTATACAACATATATAATTTTAGTATTTTTTAAAAAAAAATCTAAAAAATTTATTACAAAGTACAGCTGAATGTCCAATTCGTGATTGGATATCTAATGAACCATTTGCTATCTAAAATTTTCATCAAGGTGTAAGAAAATTTGAAATAAGTTGTTTTTTTTTATAAAGAATCCTGTAAACAATTGATTAAATATTTACCATATTTGACCAAGTTGAACTATTTGTATCAAAAATTTTTATCTATAAAATGAATATATTAACATGAGATATTATTTTACTTTATGATAAATATTTTCATACAGATGTATAAAATAAATGCATACTTTATACATGCTAAACATAATTGCAGCTCCTTCCTCTCTTCCACCAATAATTACAATTCTACCATCAGGTAATAAAGTTGATGTATTATCATAAGTTGCCAATGGTGGATTAGTTGCAGAGACTAGACTCCAAGTCAGGTCTATTGTATTCAATGTATACATGTCATTAAAAATTCGAACAGTAGGAGATCCAGTAAATTTATCTACTAATCCACCAAAAATATACATTTTTCCTTTATCATCTGCAACAGCACTACTTCCTCTACGATTAATCATAGGTGCAGTACCAGTTGTTTTTGGAGTACTCCAAACTTTTGTATTTACATCATATGCATAAAGCAAATTGGTGAAATCAGATTTATCAGTAATTTGATTTCTCATAATTCCACCAAATAAAAAAATTGTTGATTTATTTGATCCACCAACTGCACCTACAGACCAAGCATTTCCTATAGGTAATTTGTCATTTTCTACCCATGGTACATTTGTGACATCAAAATCTTTAGTTAAATCCACATAAAATAATGAATCTGTTGTAAATACTGTCTTTTCTAAGCTTATACCTCCAAGAACGTAAAGTTTGTTATCCACTACTACACTAACAGCTGCATAACGTGTTGCACTATAATCAGAAAATGCATTATTAATAATAAATATTATAACAAATATTAATTGAAGTTTGCTATTTTTGAAATTCAAGCCCATTGATTATTATCTTTTAAATATATCAATTATGCGCTATTACTACAATTAATTTTTGCAAAAATATTTATCATTAAAAGGAATTTCATTGATATTATTTTTTAAATGAATATATACAAAAAAAAACGCAAATATTTGTACATGTCGTGAATTTAAAAATTAAATTTTTTTGACACAACATACAAATAGATTATCGTTAAAAAAAATTGTATTTCACCAATGATATTGGTGTTGTAATATTTCTTTATTTTACTCAAATTTTTTGATAGAATATTAATATTAATATTAATATACATGCTGTTGATCATTTGTTTGTTACTTTGTTTTCATTGTTCAAATATTTCATATTAAATACACACATTAGTTTGTGGTGGTTTAGGTCCTGTAAATTACGCATGCAAAGTTTGAATTAAATTTTTTTTCCAAATAATCGAATTTCCTTTATTTAATTAATAAATGATACGGAAACTCAAGGAAACATGGAATTTTGCTTGCATGTTCTACAGGACCTAGGCTACAAGCTGTATTTTTCTGTGTACTTATTATACAATATCTAATCATTGATTGATTAAAATAATTTTCACGCATTTAAATAATAATTATTTCGAATAAAAAAAATGCCATTTAAATTGACTACTACTTGTGATTATTAATTTAATCATTAGCATAAAAAAAAACAAACGATTTCACAGTTATTGAAACTAGTAGCATTACATGAGTGGAAAAAAATAACAATAACAAAAATGCCATTTCTAATCTCCGCCTAACCGCATTTATAATAATAATAAAAAGCACACAGATACAGTACCTTCATTTGTTGATGAGTTAGTGGAAGTGCAATTTAACTGAATTTTCCAAAAACAAATGAAATAAAGATGAAATTTTTATACGATTAAATTATATATTATTGAATGCAAAAATTGCTACTTTTTGTCGCAAAAAACTTCTACCTATGAAAAACCTGGGGAAAACTAACTACAAGAGCAATTTTGGGATAAATTGAAAGAAACGGAAGGAATAAACAAATGAGGGATTATAATGATATTGATGATAAAGGAGATTTGAAAAAAAAAAATAGTGTAGGAATTAATTGCATCTAATTGTTTTTTCAATTTTAATTTTCGAAAAGAAAAAATATGGTTACGATGGTGATGATTATATTATAATGGTGGTGAAGACAATGAAAGCAAAGATAAAAAAGTACAAATATATTTGCTCAATATATTGTTATTCAAAGGAACTAGCGATTAAAAATTTTCTTTAGATACGTATGTAATTACAATGAAGATGGACAAAAGGAACAAAAGAAATTGAATACACTGAAACAACTGAAATGGTCAATAATGATGTATATATATATTGATTTCTTTTGGACAAAGTACAAGTAAGGCTCGAACGAATCAATGAAATTCGAATCGAATCATCTAATTTTTGATTCATTTCATTCGGATCGAATTCGATTCAAATATGAGTTGTATTTTGATTCGACTGATTCGAATCTATAGCAATCATTAGTTATATTTATTAATGTAAATTTTATTCGTCATTAATATCATTATTGTTATCAATTAATATTATTATTATTTAGTGGCCGAAATTGCCTTAATTGGCCTAAACTTGGGCGAAACTAATTTTTAATAATAAGCTGAAATTGGGCGAAATTATTTTTTACCATAGTATTGGGCGAAACTACCTTTTTCAAAAATAGTTTCGACCACCATCACTAAATAATATCCTTTATCAATTAAAAAAAAATTTTAAAATTTAAAAATACACACAATCTTTTCCAAAAATCCGTTATTA